CTAGGTCATATATAATAATACAGCAAGACTTGTCATACAATAAATTACATTTCCAAGGCAAGTGATGACAGGGGTTGGGCATCTACTCCAAAATGAACATAGGTCAAGAGTCTTTATAACATATTTATATCCATGGCAAAAAGGAGGTTATGTAAATCCTACCTAATATTTTCTTAGAATACAAAAAGTGATATATAGACAGATATACATATTAGGGTTTAGCAACAATGTGAATAAGTGAATGTATCATGTAGTCTATATATCAGGTGCCTGTATTTCTGAGTAACATAACTTTATTACACGTATGCCTCTTTGCACACTGGGCTTACAAAAAAAAAAAACGGCAGTTCACAAATGTATACTAAACCTCTACATACAATACCTTTACCCTTAGACCTACATTATTTATGTGTCTTATTTTGTATGTATACACACACACATCTCAATAAAGTTTGCAAAACCAAGGTGAAAGCTGGATATCATTACACCTATGCCTCCAATCATAATGTATCATATGTATAGTAAATCCCAAATTGTTTCTGCATCTTATTATGGAAGTATATGCACATATATCATTGAATATGCTAAATCAAAGTGACTGCTGGATATTATTACAGCTATGCCTAATCTATGTGTATATGTACTTTAAACCCATAAGGAAAACTCATATTATTTATATGTGTTATATTGGTATATATATATATATATATATATATACACACACACATCTCAATAAGTGGGAAAAATCTAATTTAAGTTTATAAATGTTTACTTAGCCACCAAAGAAATGTATGTATCTTATATAGGTATGTATTTATGTCAAGTAGGCAAAATCAGTGTGAAGGCTGGTTATTATTACACTTATGCCTCTCATTTAAGTTTTAAATATACAGTAAACCCCAAAAGAAAATCCACAAATGTGTCCTATTTTACTATGTATATTCACACATGTCAAAAAGTGTGCAACATCAGTAATGTGAAAGATAGATATTATTACACCTTTGCCTCTAATCTGAGTTTATAGATGTATAGTAAACCCCAAAAAAGAAAACCTACATCATTTATGTGTCTTATATAGGTTTGTATATACATATATGTCAATAAGTATGCAGACTCAATATGAAAACTGGATATTATTAATATTATACCTCTAATTTGACCTTATAAATATATATGTAACCCCCAAATAAAATCCACATTACTTATTATCTCATATTAGGTATGTATATACATATATATCAGTGAGCATGCACAATCAATGTGAAAGCTGGCTATTATTATACGTATGCCTCTAATTTGAGTTTATAAATGTATATTAAATCCCCCCCAAAACAAATATTACCTTGTGTTTTTATATTTCTATATTGCTATATATTATATATATATATATACATTTAATAGGTATGCAAAATCAGTGTGACAGCTGGATATAATTTACACTTATGCCTCTAATTTGAGTTTATAAATGTATATTAAATCCCCCAAAAGCCAACATCACCTTTGCAGTTTATATTGCTATTTATATACATTTAATAACTATGCAAACTTAGTGTGAAAGCTGGATATTATTACACTTATGCCTCTAATTTGAGTTTATAAATGTATTTTAAATCCCCCCCAAAAGCCAACAGTACCTTTGTGTTTTATGTTGCTATTTATATACATTTAATAAGTATGCAAAATTAGTGTGATAGCTGGATATTATTACATTTATGCCTCTAATTTTAGTTTATAAATGTACATTAAATCCCCCAAAAAGACAACATTACTTTTTGTGTTTTATATTGCTATGTATATACATATAATAAGTAAGCAAAATCAGTTTGAAAGCTGGATATTATTACACGTTTGCCTCTAATTGGAGTTTAGAAATGTATATTTAAATCCCTCAAAAAGCCAACATTACTTCTGTGTTTTATATTGCTATGTATATACATATAATAAGTAAGCAAAATCAGTTTGAGAGCTGGACATTTTTTACACTTTTGCCTCTAATTAGAGTTCAAAAATGTATATTAAATCCCCCAAAGAAAACCAACAGTACTTTTGTGTCTCATATTGCTATGTATATACACATAATAAGTATACAAAATAAATGTGAAAGCTGGATATTTTTGTGAGTGTGTATCATCTATTAATTTGCATACTTATTTTAAGCATGTTGCAATATTTTCATTCCTTATTTCTTAGATCAGACAAGCAGAGTAGATTTTTGGTAGATGAATATTTTGCTATAATTTGGGCAGATTTGCTGAATTCACCTGTATCTTGTACCATCCTGTCCTCTTTCCTCCATTCATACCTGTGTCCTAATAGCTGCAGATTCTAGGACCCACCCTAGTGGATATGTGTCCTTTATTTTATAGAGGTAGGTGAATGAGTGTTGGACTGGGGTTATGAATATTGAAAGCTGTATTGCCGGGTGAAGGCTGGCGTTGTAGATTTTTTTTTCTGCATACTTAAGTATATGGGCTGTGTCATCCATTTATGAGCCTGTAAATGAGTGGATTTACTTTGTACAAATAGTATTTATCTTTCCTCAATCCCTGGTGCCTTGCCCAGAAAGCCTTAGAAAGGAAATCCGTCACTTCCTTATAATGATATTAATAATAAAAAAAATAAAATAACACTGTGGATATGGCAGGTAAAGCCCGATTCGAGGTTAACCCTTTGTGCACAGACATGTGGAGCTGCCTAGAAGTGCAAACGGTGTGACTGAAGCTGTGTGCAGCCTGTGTACGGTGGATAGGAGGCTGCTGGGTGCCTGATGTGGGATGCAGGGTGCTATAGAGTGCTGTGTGCTGGATGTGGAGTGCAGGGTGCTATAAAGTGCAGGCTGCTGGATGCAGGGTGCTGTGTGAGTGCAGGCTGCTGCTGGGTGCTGTAGAGTGCAGGCTGCTGGGTGTTGGATATGGGGTGCAGGGTGCTGTAGAGTGCAGGCTGCTGTATGCAGGGTGCTGTAGAGTGCAGGCTGCTGGGTGCAGGGTGCTGTAATATGCAGGCTGCTGGGTGCTGGATGTGGGGTGCAAGGTGCTGTAGAGTGCAGGCTGCTGTGTGCTGGATGTGGGGTGCAGGGTGCTGTAGAATGCAGGCTGTTAGGTGCAGGGTGCTGTAGAGTGCAGGCTGCAGGGTTCTGGATGTGGGCTGCAGGGTGCTGTAGAGTGCAGGCTGTTGTGTGCTGGATGTGGGGTGCAAGATGCTGTAGAGTGCAGGCTGCTGGGTGCTGGAAGTGGGGTACAAACTGCTGTAGAGTGCAGGGTGCTGTAGAGTGCAGGCTGCTGGGTGCAGAGTTCTGTAGAGTGCAGGCTGTTGGGTGCTGTATGTGGGGTGCAAGATGCTCTAGAGTGCAGGCTGCTGGATGTGGGGTGCAAAGTTCTGTAGAGTGCAGGCTGCTGGGTGCTGGATGTAGGGTATTGCGTGCTGTAGAGTGTAGGCTGCTGGGTGCAGGGTGCTGTATAGTGCAGGCTGCTTTGTGCTGCATGTGGGCTGCAGGGTGCTGTAGAGTGCAGGTTGCTGGATGTGGAGTGCAGGGTGCTGTAGAATGCAGGCTGCTGGGTGCTGTATGTGGGCTGCAGGGTGCTGTAGAGTGCATGTTGCTGGATGTGGAGTGCAGGGTGCTGTAGAGTGCAGGCTGCTGGGTGCTGTATGTGGGATGCAGTGTGCTGTAGAGTGTAGGCTGCTGGGTTCTGGATGTGGGCTGTAAGGTGATGTAGAGTGCAGGCTGCTTGGTGCTGGATGTGGTGTGCAGGGTGCTGTAGAGTGCAGGCTGCTGCTGGGTGTAGGGTGCTGTAGAGTGCAGGCTAATGCTGGGTGCAGGGTGCTGTGGAGTGCAGGCTGCTGCTGGGTGTAGGGTGCTGTAGTAGAGTGCAGGCTAATGCTGGGTGCAGGGTGCTGTGGAGTGCAGGCTGCTGCTGGGTGCTGTAGAGTGCAGGCTGCTGGATGCTGGATGTGGGGTGCAGGGTGCTGTAGAGTGCCGGCTGCTGCTGGGTGCAGGGTGCTGTGGAATGCAGACTGCTGCTGGGTGCAGGGTGCTGTGCAGTGCAGGCTGCTGTGGGTGTAGGGTGCTGTGGAGTGCAGGCTGCTGGGTGCTGGATGTGGGGTGCAGGGTGCTGTAGAGTGCAGGCTCCTGGGTGCTGGATGTGGGGTGCAGGGTGCTGTGGAGTGCAGGTTGCTGCTGGGTGCTGGATGTGGGGTGCAGGGTGCTGTAGAGTGCAGGCTGCTGCTGGGTGCAGGGTGCTGTGGAGTGCAGGCTGCTGCTGGGTGCTGGATTTGGGGTGCAAGCTGCTGTAGAGTGCAGGCTGCTGTTGGGTGCTGGATGTGGAGTGCAGGCTGCTGCTGGGTGCAGGGTGCTGTGGAGTGCAGGCTGCTGCTGGGTGCAAAGTGCTGTGGAGTGCAGGCTGCTGCTGTGTGCAGGGTGCTGTGGAGTGCAGGCTGCTGCTGGGTGCTGTGGCAGTGCAGGCTGCTGCTGTGTGCAGGGTGCTGTGGAGTGCAGGCTGCTGCTGGGTGCTGTGGAGTGCAGGCTGCTGCTGTGTGCAGGGTGCTGTGGAGTGCAGGCTGCTGCTGGGTGCTGGATGTGGGGTGCAGGCTGCTGCTGTGTGCAGGGTGCTGTGGAGTGCAGGCTGCTGCTGTGTGCAGGGTGCTGTGGAGTGCAGGCTGCTGCTGTGTGCAGGGTGCTGTGGAGTGCAGGCTGCTGCTGTGTGCAGGGTGCTGTGGAGTGCAGTGTCGATGCTGCTTGCTGGGGTCTCAGGCGTGCAGCAGCCTCATCCACATAAAACAATAGCCTCCTTGATATGAATGCTGACAGCTCCGTGCGGCCCCTCCGATTGATTGATGGCTCTGTGACGCTTTATCAGGCACACGGATAAAGTTTGACCAATCATTTGCCAGGAGCTCACAAGGCAAGCAGCCCAAGTGTACTTTTGTTGGCTTAGGAAGTTAGGTCGGGGAGCTCCTTTTTTTTTGCATCTGCCCTCTATTTTTGGTTTGTATGATGTCCAAGAATGTCCATTTCTGGAGCGCTGAGTAACTACTTTGTGGAGTCCATCATCAGCCCCGAGAGCGAGGAGCCTCCAGCAGCCAAATTCTCTGGACAGTACCCCAGCCCCCGGCCGGCGGCGCACTCTGACAGCCTGGACTTCCCTTCTTGTAGCTTCCAGCCCAAAGCCCCCGTATTCAGCGCCTCCTGGAGCCCCCTGAACCCTCACAGCGCTTCTCCCCTGCCGCCGGTCTACCACCCCTACCTCCAGCAGGGCGCCCCCACGTCTGAGAGCAGGTACTTACGGGGCTGGCTGGAGCCGCTGCCCAGGGCAGAGACTGGACCGGGAGCTGTGAAGACTGAGCCGCTGCTGGGCCACCCGGGGGACCTGCACAAGTTGGGAGCCCAGGAGTACAGCCTAGAGTCGCCTGCTGCCAGAGAGGAGCCCAATGAGAGGCCCACTTTCCAGGACAATAAAGTGTGCGAAGGAAGCGAGGACAAAGACAGGCCACATCAAAGTAAGTTATATAGCTGAGGAAGTGCAACACAATAGACTGCAATAAAAAAAGTGCAAGGAAATCTAGGATCCGGTCCCTACATGATGCTTACACATACTATAGACACGTACAGGGACCAGCAACTAGAGGAGACTAGAATCTGAACTCATCCATAATAGCCAGTCATCACTGATAATAAATTAAACCTCATATAAACATGAACACTACATGGACATCTCTCATACTGTCCTACAATTATGCCTACACATACTATCGACATGTACGGTGACCAGGACACAGGCAAACACTATAGGAGAGCAGAACCTGCACCACAACTCATCCATAACAGCCAGTCATCACTAACAATACAAATAAAACTCATATAAATATGAACACAACAAGGAAAGCTCTGATACTGTCCTGACATTACGCCTTCACATACCATAGACATAAAAAAAACTATAGGAGACTAGAACCTGCACTCATCCATAACAACCAGTCATCATTAATAATACAACTAAACCACAAAGAAATATCAACACAAGGAAATCTCTAATACTGTCCTGACATTATGCCTACATATACTATCGACATGTACAGCGACCAGGACACAGACAAAAACTATAGGAGAGCAGAACCTGCACTACAACTCACCCATAACAACAAGTCATCACTAATAATAAAACTAAACCACATATAAATATGAACACAACAAGGAAAACTCTGACATATGCCTTCACACACCATAGACATAAAAAACCTATAGACTAGAACCTGAACTCATCCATAACAGCCAGTCATCATAATAATAAAACTAAACCACAAAATAAATATGAACACAACTAGGAAATCTCTGATACTGTCCTGATATTATGCCTTCACATACCATAGACATGTACAGCGACCAAGACACAGCCAAAAAACTTTATTAGAGTAGAATCAGCACCACAACTCATCCATAATAGCCAGTCATCACTAATAATAAAACTAAACCACATATAAATATGAACATTACATAGACATCTCTGATACTGTCTTGATATTATGCCTGCACATACCATCAACATGTACAGTGACCAGAACACAGATAAAAATTATAGGAGACCAAACTCTACACCGTGACTCATCCATAACCACCTGCCATCCCTAGTAATAAAACTAAATCACATATAATTATGAACACAACTAGGAAATCTCTAATACTGTCCTGACATTATGCCTACACATACCATAGACATGTACAGCGACCAAGACACTGCCAAAAACTTTAGGAAAGCAGAACCTGCACCACAGTTCATCCATAATAACCAATCATCACTAATAATACAACTAAATCTCATATAAATATGAACACTACATAAACATCTCTGATACTGTCCTACAATTATGCCTATGCATACTATCGACATGTACAGTGACCAAAAACTATAGGAGACTAGAACCTGAACTCATCCTTAATAGCCAATCATCACTAGTAAAAAAAAAAAAAAACTACATATACATATGAACACAATAATCTCTGACATTATCCTAACATTTATTATGCCTTCACATACCATAGACATAAAAAAAATACAGAAGAGTAAACCCTGCATCACAATTCATCCAGAACAACCAGTCAGCCCTAGTCATATAACTAAACCTCACATAAATAAGAACACAACATTGAAATCTCTGAGACTGTCCCTACATTCACCCTGCACACACTATAGACATGTACAGTGACCAGGGCACAGCCAGAAACTTTAGCAGGGTAGAACCTGCACCACAACCCATCATTGACAACCAATCCCTAGTAATAAAATGAAACCACCTTATAAATATGAACACAACCAGGAAATCTGTGATCCTATCATAAACAAACTATAGTTATGTACATTGCCCAAAAACTAAGAAGTTAGAACCTGCACCACAACTCAACCGTAACAGCCAGCCACCCCTAGTAATAAAACTAACCACATATAAATAAAACACAACAATGACATCTCTGATCCTGTCCCTAAATTCTGCCTGCACACACCATATAGATGTACCGTCACCAGGACACAACCAAAAAAACTATAGGAGACTCACCTTTGCACCGTAACTCATCCAAAACCACCTGCCATCCCTAGTAATAAAACTAAACCACATATAAATATGAACACAAAAAGGAAATCTGATCCTGTCCCAACATTCTGCCTGCACACACCCATAGACATGTACAGTGACCAGGGCACAGCTCATCAGACGTCTCTCTCTACCAGACATTAAAAAAAATAGGAGAGTGTAACCTGTAGCACAAATCATCCATAACAACCAGCCACCCCTAGTAATAAAACTAAACCACATATAAATAGGAACACAACAAGGAGAAGTCTGATTCTGTCCCAACATTCAGGTTGCAAACAAAGCCATGTGCAATGACCAGGACACAGCCAAAAAAAAAAAAACTACAGGAGAGTAGAACCGACACCACAACTCATCAATAACAGCCAGCCACCCCTAGTAATAACCACATAAAAATACTAAATCTGTGATGATGTCCCAACATTCAGGTTGCACACACCATAGACATGTACAGTGACCAGGGCACAGCACATCAGACTTCTCTGGTTACTACCAGACAGTCAAAAAACTACAGGAGAGCAGGTCCAGCACCACAACTCATCCTTAACAGCCTAGTAATCAAACTGAAACCACATATAAATATGAACACAAGTAAAGCTCTGATCCTGTCTCAACTTTCACCATAGACCTGTGCAATGACCAGGACACAGGCAAAAATCTATAGGAAAGTAGATTCTACACCACAACTCATCTATAAGCAGCCAGCCATTTCTACAAAAAAAAGCTACACATAAACATAAACACAGCTTGCAACAAACACGGTAAACTGCAATAAAAAAAAGTGCACTGTACACAGCAAAGAAATGTATGATCCTGTCTCTGTATTCTGCCTGCACACACCATGGACATGGACAGTGACCAGGGCACAGACAAAAAAACTACAGGAGAAAAGAACATGCACCACAACAGCCAGCCACTCTTTTAAATAAAAAATAAACCACATATAAATATGAACACAACAAGGAAAGCTCTGATCCTGTCCCTAAATTCTGCCTGCACTCACCATGGACATGTGGACATGAACATGTGTAGTGACCTGGACACCGCTCATCAGACTTCTCTTGTTACCACCAGAAAGCCAAAAATCTAAAGGAGAGTAGGACCTGCACCACAACTCATCCATAACAGCCTAGTAATATAACTAAAACACATATAAATATGAATACAACAAGGAAAGCTCTGATCCTGTCCCAGCATTTACCATAGACCAGAACACAGCTCATCAGACGTCTCATCTTATTACCAGACAGCCAAATAGGAGAGTAGAACCTGAACCACAACTCACCCATAACAGCCTAGTAATAAAACTAAACCACATATAAATATGAACACAACTTGCCAACCTCATCCGCACTGTAAAATATTCATCTTGTGCTCCCAGACTTGGTTTTTAGGACCTAACAAATGTGAAATTAGTCTCCCCTTGTAGCCATGTCACTTCAGCCGTGTGACCTGATTGCTAAGGACAATGCAAGCTCATTTATCTGGTCCAGCCAGGTAAAATGATTGATCAGCTCCACTTAATACCATTCCCCATCATCTTATAAACGGCATGGATATATATTTTATCGCACACGTGCTACCTTGTATTATACACTAATATTAAGCAATAGGCGATTCAATGATCGGTAAAAAAAAACATTTTAGCTTGATAAATGTGGGTATTATGCATGCAACTTAAACCACACTTTAAGGAGGTGTTTTCAAAAAAACTGGGCATGGGTCCAGGGTACAGTCGTTGAGAATAAAAAAAAAATTCTGATGCAGCTTGAGATGAACAGACTGTTTACCAAACACTCATCTGGTGTGATAAAAGCTAAAAGCTTTTTTTTTTTTTTTTTTTTTAATTTCAGAACTTCATATAATTTATGGCTTCAATCTACTTTGTTGGACCCTCAGCCCAATACCGAAAACGTTGTTGAACAAAAAAGCTTTTTTTTTTCAACTATAACATCATTTCTAATTATTTACAATTGCACAGTGAATACAGCTTGTCCAGGTTTGATTTAATTCTGGAGAGGCAACTTTAAAAAAATAAAAGTATAAATAAATAAAAATGCTCATAATTTACATGGTTTGTATTAAAAAATTCACCGGACAGGAAAAAAAAGAAAATATTTGCAGAAAATAAAATTGACTTCCAGCATTCTTGAAATGCAGCCGTATTAACACCTATTAATTATTAAGTGATTTAATTCTCTTAAATATTTAATTTTCCTGCAAATGATAAGGAGACGGTGGCAATGCAGGCGCTATCTCAGGCACAAAAAGTTACCCAAGGAAGGAAGCAGCCTGTATATTCTGCCAGACAGGGCAGGAATACAGACTTTCATCTATTTTTTATGAGCCCACAACGTGTTCTCTGACTTTAATGAAAGGGATTTTTTTTATTGTCCTTACTGGCGATGCGTGTTAAAAGCTCAAAGCAAGTTATAAACCAATATTAGCAACAGCACGAACAAATCTGTAACACTAGTAATCTTTATTTGAATAATAACTATTATTTTTTATCACATCTGAAGAAAATGTATAATTTTAACTTGAGATGTTATTTTACTTAAAGTATGTTTTAATCATACGTTATCTATATATGCCTTCTTAAAAAAAAAAAAAAAAAAGCATGTGTGAATACATTTGTAGTATTTTTATTATTATAACAACTGCTACATGTGTGTGTGGATACATTTGTATTATCAATAAACACACATATATATATATATATATATATATATATATATATATATATATATATATATAAAATCATTATTTATTTATTTTTTTTGATAGATGGATAGATAGATAGATTAGATAGATAGATAGATAGATAGATAGATAGATAGATAGATAGATAGATAGATAGATAGATAGATAGATAGATAGATTAGATGGA